GAAGGTGGCTGGACTCTGGAGTGCAGTGGCACTGCAGACCTGGGCCCAGGGCTCTGACCTCTGCCTCGGGGGTCTATTGGCAGCAAGCCTAGGGGGCCTCTCGTCTGCTTCCTGCTGCCCCACCCGCCACCTTCCCTCTGAGCTCTTGAGCTGGGAAGGAGTGGTCTTCGGCAGTTGACTTCTCAACCAGGTCTGCTCAGGACTTCCTCTGCCATTGTGCTGGGGAGCAAAGGGCCTGTCACCTACACCCCTGAGTGACTCACCTTCCAGAGAAGATGAGCTCTACTAAACCTAAGCAAGGCTGCTTGGGAAACGACTAAGACATCTATCAAACGCACTCTGCAAGGCCAACCAGGGAGCAAGCTAGGGAATGGGGTCCAGACATACGGCTTCTCACTTCTAGTCTGGAGGCAAGGGCTGAGCCACAGCCCCAAGCCTGTTGCTTTCATTTTTGTCTGAGCTGAGCTCCGCGTGAGGCTTGACATCCGGTGATCTATTTTTTCTAAAAACTAGGTTCACTTTAGAAATGACTCTTCGGCCATCAAGACAGCTTCCCCAAGAGACAACACAATGCTATTTAAAGGGAACACCAGCTTGGTGGGAGCTTGTATTTTTGTTTTGTAGTAAGGGGTAAAAATGACTTGAAAATCTATTATGAAACTTTTTTTTTCTTGTGAGATTTAAATGTATTTTTGTGAGTCCCTGAGTACAGACCCAGGGCTCCTGGAACCAGGGTTGGAAGATCAGCTCACTGAGACATACTCAAGAGAAAGAAGGCGGGGTGGAGGGGAGAAGGGGTCCAGTGGGGTAGGTACCTTGCCCTGTAGAACCATGGGTTCCCTCCTAGCCCTCCAAACAAATTCTGTTGATTTAAGGCCGAAGAAGTATCCTCATCTGCTTCTCACTCACAGAGCTACAGCCAGGGTCCCCCTAATCACGTGTGGGACACAGGGAGCCCCCAATAGCCCTAGTTTTGCTGTAGTTCAGAGTCCTGGAGGCGCTGAGAGGTGCCAAGCATGGGCAGAGCCCCAGCCTTCTTTGACTCATCTATAGTTGATGATGGAGGTCCTGGGTGGGTGACAGGGAGCACTGACAGCTAACTACTTCAGGCTGGAGAAATATCCTCCCGGAGGGGCGACTGAGACAGCGACTGTCCTGCCTGGCAGCGTGGCTCTTCCTGACATCATCACCTAGAAAACTGATCTGGCCACAACGTGGTAATCAGCAACAATGGCGACGGCTATCACCACCAATGCTACCACCAACCGCAGTCACAGTGCCCCGTGGTTTCTGTGCCAGGTGCCAAGCTCAGCACGTCATAGACCCTCTCGCTGCAGACTTCAAGCAGCTCTGTGAAGCATTTCTGATGGTAGGAATGGAGGCGGCGGCCCAGCTTCAGAGGGTGAGGGGGTTAGCTGAGGGCACATGGTTTGTGGAAAGTAGCAGTCTCAAGCCTGCACCCCCTTCACAGGGACTCGGGCTACTGCTTCAGATGAGCCACGTGACATCTTTGCTTCTCCCATTTCTGAGTCTGCACAATGGGCTTACACAGATCTGTCTAAAGGACAGGCTATTCATGATTCAGTTTTTAAAAATTAATTAGCAATCAATATCAATGAATAGTTAGTTGATAATACAACTGATGCTGATCATTGATTATTGCAATAAATAGATAAAGCCGCTATCCTGGTTATGTTGTTATGTTCAACATCAACACATTCTGGGGGTAAAAACCCCATATCCTTGGATGAGCAAATTACAAAAAGCAGTGAGGTGCATGGCAAGGCAAAGGGGGTTGGATTTGGGCAGGACACTGATTTCCTATCTTTCCTACTTGAATTCTCCTTACAGGCTTCACTTGTCTCATCTTTGGTCTTATTTTTTTCTTGTAAGTATTGTGTGAAAATACAAAGAATGCAATCACTCCTGAAGTCACAGAAGTGCAAGGAATTTACATCAGGGAGCTAAGCAATTGCAGGATGTGAAATAGAAGGGAAGATCTTGAAACCCGAGTATACAGGAGGGCACAGGGGCTGCAGAGGGAGAGCATCCAGGCAGCGAGCCAAACCTGGAGCCAAGGCCCGCCCTCAGCACGCTCTCCTGCATCACCTGCCCCCGTGCTGGCCATGGCCTTCGGTCTGGAAGTCACTGCTCTCAACACAGCCGCCAGGGCCAGCCAACAAAGGGAGGCCTCACCACACACCGCATTCAAAGCTCCCCTATTCCTAGGAGATGCTTGGCCTACCTCCTCTCCCTTCCTCACGTCCTGGTGCGCAGAGCCCCAAGGGTCAACTTATCCCCAGGACTCCCCAACTCTACCGGCACGCAACTGCACCCCTTTCCACCCATTTTCCACACCAGGGCCATCAAAAGTGCCCATAATGCTCAGAGGTTTCCAGTTTAACTGAAATACTAAAATGGGGCAAACAGGAAGCATCAGACACAACTGCGGTAGTGACTTATTAATCATGAAAGCAGAATTTTACTTGCATTTTAACCTTTTGCCAGGAAAAAAAAAAAAGAGCTGAGGTAGGGCAGCAGCCTAGAGAATTGAGTTGACTTGGACCTTCCATTTCAGCCTGAATTTGGTTTTAAAATATCTGAACTGGGGTTGACACTGCCAGGATAGCAGGTAAAGTCACCCGTTTACAGCGCCAGCATCCCATTAGGGTCACTGGTTTGAGCCTTGGCTGTTCCATTTCCCATCCAGCTCCCTGCTAAGGTACCTAGGAAAGTGGCATAAGATGGCTAAGTGCTTGGGCCCCTGTACACACATGGAAGCTCTGCGCTCCTGGCTTCTGCCTGGGCCAGCTCTGTTTCAGCCATTTGGCAAGTGAACCAGGAGGTGGAAAGTGACTTCCAAATAAATAAATCTAAAAAAGAAGGAAAGAAAGAAAAGATATCTGAACTTTCCCCCAGAAAGAATACCTGATAAACCAACCAATTAGGGATCTATAAGCCCTTCAGCAAGGCAGATCTGTCAGGGAGGGCCATGTGCGAGCCATCCGGGTAAGCAATGAGCAAGAAACTCAACAGTGGCAACCCAGGCTCAGGCTATAGGCGGCACTAAGGAGGGTGCCAGTAGCAACAGGGACAAGGCTGGGAGGAACTCTGACCTCTCCTCAGCTCCCCCAGAGCCAGGTCAGGGGCGGGTGGCCTGTTATCTCTCCATAGAAGCAATCATAAGGGCTGCTGAGGGCTTGCACACCCAATCAGGACCAGCCCTCCTCAGCACCAACTGCTACACAAACACTTGGAGCCGATCACAAAGGAGCCAGTGTTCATCAGCAGAACCAAAATGAGGAACTAAATCTCCATCTGTGGGGGCACACGCCCTCCCCCCAGACGTTTTCTGTTTAATAGGAGGGCTCCCTTGGCAGGGTCTCTGTGGGGCCACTCCCACAGATGCTGACAGTACCCGGGGGCAAAAAACCCCCTTTGAAACGGCTCTTAGTAATCAGACAAGAGCCAGGAGATGACCTAGCGCTTGACAAGCTTATTGCTGGCTGACTGCACAAAAGGCCACACTACCTGGGTGCCTCTTTGAACTGACAGTATGAGAGAGCTTTCAAACAGTTCGTGTAAGCATGGAATGTAAAATCCTTGGATTTTGAGCCCCCGCCCTGCCTGTATTGCATTTATTTGGAGATCTTCTCAGAGTTTCATCACGTCCTTCAAGGATGCTGTGAAGAGGTCCAAAAGGAACCCTGGCGTTGCTTCAAACGAACCGAACAGATATCAGTTAAAAAACAAGAGCCCCTCCAAAAATAGGTAGCGCCAGACAAGCCCTCCGGAGGGGCACTCTCCCTATGAGCAGCGCAAACACCATGCCAAACACGCCTCCCTGCCTCAACATCAGAGATCTAAACCGTGCACCCCATCCAGGAGTCCCAGTTAGGTTAGAAGTGCCAAGTGCGCCTGCGCACAACACCCGCCCCAGTTGCCTCAAGTCTAACCCAGGACAGTCCCACCCAGCTGACCATACAGGTGTTTGATGGAAAAACGAAGCTACAGGTATGCTTACATACTAAGTAAAAACACATCACCCACACAAAGATACTATCTCCCCCTGATCTTTCAGAAAGACTGTCTTTCTAGTTACTGGGTTTTCAACATTTTTCCTGGAATAAAGTTCAGACTGCCATTTTGTAACGCGGCCCTGCTCTCAAACTTAATTTCACTTGCTCTTACAATCTTTCACTGCTAAATTCAGGGCTGCTCTAAGTGGCAGAAACAGTTTTGTCATTTACAACACTCAAGTCTTCCTCACCCACATTCACACCTCGTCCACGCTTCGGGCAACATTTTAACCTTGCTTCAAAGCAAACACTTTCTCAAGTTATTGAGAACCAAGCAGACTCCCGGGTCACTGCACAACGGCCTCGTTCTGCTGGGGACCCGCTGCATGTAGCTGCCCGGGCCACGGAAGGTCTCGGCGAGGAACCGGCAACTACGATCCGACAGGTGAAGCGGGGCGCGGGAGCACAGAGTTTGAGCCGGGTCGGGGTCAGCTTAGGAAGATGCTGCGGCCGCCCCAGCCGGCACTGTCCCACAGGGCGTCCTCGGCCAGGCTGTGCTCCTTTCCCCCAAGAACTACCCAGGGAAGGTGACACAGGTCTCAGGGGGCACGGCGCCTTCTGCAGGGTCCCCCCCGCCCTGGGGACCGGGTCAGGCAGGCGGGGTGGAGCGGTGCAGCGCCGGCGGCCCAGGGCGCCGAGGAAGGGGAAGCTGGGCGCTCCGGCGTGTGGCCTGCGGACGAGCGCGGCCTGGCGGCTTCCAGGGAGCACGGCGGCGGCGGCCATGGCGCGGACAGCGCGTGGGAGAGCGTCCCGGCCCGGTCCCCACCCGGGCCGCCGACCACCAGGACCACCAGGATCACCAGGCCCACCAGCACCCCGGGGCGGCGGGCCAGGCCGCGGCGCTGCCTGGGACGCAGAGGAGACCCATCCCGCCGCTCCCTCAGCGCCGCCGCTCCCTCAGCCGCCCCGTCAGTCACCTACCGGCCGAGCGCTGACGTCCCTCACCCCGCGAGTGGCTCCGCTCGGGCGGCCCGCGATCTCCCACCGCCCGCCGCCCACCACGGCTGCTCGCGGCCCGTCGCCCCGCCCCCGCCGGCCCCGCCCCCGCCGGGCCCCGCCCCCGCCGGCGGCCGCCGCTCGGGCGCTCGCTTCCCGCCTCCTTTCTCTGCCCGGCCCGCGACCCTTGTCCACACCCACTCTCCCAAGCTGGCTCTTGAGACGGCCCGTCCTGACTGGCCCGTCGTCCCGCTCCCTAGCAACCAGAGGCGAACGAACGAGGCCTAGTTTTCCAGAAATGGGCACCAGTTCCGGACAAGGTTTATACAGAGCAGACAGAGGGAGGACGATTTAGGACTGAAGACGGAGGCGGCTACGCATGCGCAATCGGCGTCTAAGTTTTTTTTTTTTTTACCGGTCTTGTTCTGGAGTTTACGGGAAGGAAGGGAGCGTGTGCGCATGCGTGGGAACTCCCAGCACTCTAGCTCCGGTTACCTTGGAAACGATGGCGGTTTGGGTTCTGGGTCGCGATGGATTTTATTTTTTCTTTGCAGGCGGTGGCGGCTGAGACGGGGCTACATAGTAGGAGTTTTGTTGAATACTTACTGTGTGCCTGCTGCTGTAGAGTCCCATGAGAATAACTTAGGTGCCAGTCCCTATCCTCAAGGGCCTAGGCAGATGTAGTGATGGCATGGAAATGCAATGTGGCGTTAGCGCTGTAGCGTTACAGGCTACACAAAGATGATAGAGCAAAGTCAGGAGCTGGAATTGGAATACGCACCGAGGGACACAAGTACTTCTGTTTGAATGGGGTGGATGGGGGTGGATGGTAGGAAAAGTATGATGTTTTATTTGCAATAAAGCGTTCTAGGGGTAGATGTCATGGCACAGTGGGCTAAGTAAGGGTGATGTGGAATGCCCACACCCCTTGTCGGAGCACCTGGAATATGGAGTATGGCTTCCCTTACACCACCCAGGAAGCATATGCTATCTCAAATACTTGGGAGAGCCAGAGTTCCTGGTTTGTGGCTTGGTCTAGCCGAACCATGGCTATTGCCGGCATCTGGGCCATGACCAGCAGCTGGAAGCTTCCGGGCTCTGTCACATTCCATGTTAAATCAATCAGTAAACCCAAACTTTAGAGCTTGGGTTCGCGGCAAGGCTGGGAAATAGCTCTAGTGTTGCAGCTGGCTCGAGAAGTCAGCACCCCATTTCTGGAAGTGTTTGAACCCAGGCCTGGCCACCCAATGCCCAGAGCCACTTTGCAGACAGTCTGGGGTGGGAGTGGAGGGGGCACAAAACCTCTTCCTGGAGCTCTGCCCCCAACCCAACATACTGATCATTCCATTCGTTGGGGCATTAATGGAACCCTTATAATATGGAGGAACTCCCCCTCCCCCGCCACTCACCCATGCCAAAAGTATGTTCTGTTTGGTTGACTCACTATTTTTTTCACTACAGTTTGAATGCCTTACAATGTTGTGGTCCCTGTCCCCTTGTCTTACCCTCCAGCTTCTTACCTTTTGCCACTTGTCTGGTCCCTGGGATCTGTGCTCAGGAAGGTTCCCTTGGCCATTCATCAAGTCCCTTAGACTTTAGCACCAGCCAACCTCTGGTGTATCTGTTGTCTATACCTCTGACTGCCTGGCTGGGCAGGTGGGTGAGTGCTCCCCCCAAGCTGGATCCACCTCCAGAGCCCAGAGTCATCCCGGTGACTCAGGAGGACCAGTACTCAGCCAGCTGTGCGAGTTGATGTTAGTCTTGGGTGCCATCGTGTTCCTCCCACTGCCTGCTTGCCTCTGGGCACACCACTTCTCAGGAAAGATGTGGGCATGTCCCAAGTCTGCAGATGCTCTCTGCCTCACCTCTGCCATCTCCCTCTCTGTCTTTTGAAATGTTTATTTTTGTTTTATTTGGAAGCCAAAGATGGAGATTGTCTGACTGCTACTTTAGGTCCCCAGATGCCAACAATAGCTGGGGATGGACCTGGTCAAAGTCAAAAAGCCAGGACTCAATTTGGGTCTCTCAGTGTGGGAGGCAGGGATCCAAGAGATTGAGCCAACATCTGCTGTTTCCCAAGGTGCACTCAGAAGCAGGCCAGTACTCAAACTCAGGCACCCTAATAGAGCAGGTGGTTATCCTCAGGGACAGCTTACCTCACTGAGCCACAATGCCCACTCCTTACGATCCGTATTTGTTAGGACAGTATTCCCCATTTTCCCTTGTTGCTTCTGTGGTTCAGGGTCCCCTCCATAGTCTCACCTCCTTCTACACTCCCTGTCTCCATCTTTCTACTTATGTGTATGCTCGTGGGTAAGAGTAAACTGGGTTGATCTGAAGGTTGCTGGCGGGGGAGCAAACCTCTGTGTACTAATAGGGGAAGTATTTGGGGCAATGGGACCTCTTGGCATGTGACACCTTTTGTCAGGTCTTTCTGAGCTTTGGCAATGTAGAGAAGGAGACAAGAAACAAGACAACCTTCCCAGCCCACCTGCCAGCTCCAGAGTGGGCACCCTGGTCCCTGAGTCTTGCCTCTGAAAGGAGGACTTTGGGGGCAAAATAACTTCGTCCTGGCCCCAGTCACAGCAGCCTGGGAAGACTTGCAGCCCTGAGTCATTTATGCAACCTCAGCACCACTTGAAATAAAATTGGTTGACATTTACAGGATGACTCACACCTGGAGCGTGAGCTGGCTTCACAGTACTCTGGGGGCTCTCTAATGAGGAGGGCTAAAACTGTACTATCCCAAAAGAAAAGTAGTAGCTGCTGTGCTTTGAGAACTTGGAGAAGTCGGGGAGACGCTCCTGAAGGTTGCATGTGCTCCCCTCACGGAAGAGATCCTCCAGTCTCGAGTTTCTCAACTACCTGGGGACCTGTTTTTGGACTTGGGGGTCAGGTAGCTCATGGTGGAACGGTGGTCATCCTGGCCACTGTTCCCTTTAACACTTGGGGCATTACTGCTCTCCCCCAGTGTGACAACAACACAGAGTGTCTCCAAGTATTGCCTGACCATCTTCAGGGAGCAGCATTGCCCTTATCTGTAGTCTAAGGCCATGTACTAGGGATAACTCTTCTTCAGAGAGAAGCAGACGGAGACTCAGAACAAAGTTGCCCAGAGTCACAGGATCACGACAAGAGACCTGAGATTCCAGCCAGGCATGGCCCCAGCACTCCTACCATCCTCGCCAAGGACTTGACAGAGGGACTTGGGGTTGCAGGGAGCCAGCTGCTCTTCCGCTCTGCAGGAGAGTGGTGAAGAATGAGTAAAGTTTTGAGCCTGAGTGGGAAATTCTATCCTTGGATCATTTTTCCTTTTTCTGTTTGCCTTAGAAGAAGGGAAACTGTTTTCTAGTTCTTCTTGTCTTCGTCAGCTGGTGTCCAACCACATCCAGAGAGAAGGTGGTTGGGAACAACAGTCTGGGTTCTGTGAGTCTCGGCCGTCACATTTTCATGAGAGCTCAAGTCACAAGTGAGAAGAGCTTGGATGTGAGGCTAGGGGATAGGGGCCCCTGCAGGAGGAGCAGTTTTACTTCCCCTGTGGCAAGCACTGCTGTGGGACTTCCACCTGCTCCAACGTGCACTTGCCTCATTGCTACCGTCAGTCCGGAGAGGTAGGGAGGAGTCAGGGAGCCACAGAAGGAATGGACAAACAGGTACAGGCAGTAGTGTGATAGCACTCTCCTTCTACTCTGCCACTGGTGATGGCTTGTGGGTAGCTTGAAATTGAGTATGAAGGAGTCTTTACACCATGGAATTTGGCAGGTGCTATATAACCAGGGCTACCTACTTTCCAAGCTGGTTATTTCTGACACAAAAATGTATTTATTTGAGAGACAGAGTGATGGTGAGAACAGGGACACAAACACACACCCACCCACCCACCCACCCACCCACACACACACACACACATGAGTATTCCATCTGGTCTGTTCCCCAAGTGGTCATAGTAGCCAGGGCTAGGACTAGACAAAGCCAGGAGTCAGAAACGCCATGTAGGGTGGAACGCAGGGGCTTAGCTCAGGCTAGCCACTGTCTGCTGCCTTCCTAGCCAGATGAGCAGGAAGATGGATCTGAAACAGCAAACAAGACTTGAACTGGAACTTGAGAAGGGATGCCAGTATTGCAAGTGCTCACACGGCTAGCCTCCCAAGCTGGTGGTTAAGTATTTACCAGCACACCATACATACACCATAGTCTGGCCTCAGGCTATGGTTCATTAATCCCATGCCACATATTGATTGGGGGCCATGGTGGTCTTGGAGAGGAGCAGAAGGGTGGTGATCTGAGCAGAGGATAGAGCTGCCACATGGTGTTCTCATGGGGCACCGGGCAAAGCTGACCTTACCAAAGGCAGCTACTGGGCATGCATTCCTAACTTTGGGGCTTTCCTAGGTAGCCTTGGCTTGATCCAACTTCTCACTTGGTGATGGGCTTCCTTCCCCTCAAATTCCCTCCTCACCTCCAGTCTCCTCCCCTACCACCCTCACCCTTCTGGCAGGTTTTAATTTTCCCAGGAATCCACTTGGGTCCTGTTGTTCCACATCAGTGTCCTAGCCTCTCCCACCCTTCTACAACTCCCTTCAGCTCAGTCTCCAAATGTGTCACTCAAGCGCTTCAAAACTACACAAACAGACTGACTTTCCCCAAGCCCTGTTATGCTGGGCACCATTAGCCCAATTTTCTTGCCCTTTCCCTCCTGGCCTTTGTGATGCTCCGGGCATTTGCTTCATCTTCCACTTGAGTGTACCCCTTGCAGGTGGCTTTGGCCCAGTCCCTTCTCTCCAGATCTTCCATTGGCCTCCCAATTGGAGGTTGTGGCTTAGTGTCCTTCTACAGCCAAGCACAGCTGAGAGGTACCAAGCAGGAGACTGTCCAGGCCAAAGCTGGAAGCAGAAAGCTCAAGCCGGTCTCGCACATGGATGCAGGAACCCAATTCCTTGAGCCATTAACATTGCCTCCTAGGGCCCGGCGCGGTGGCACAGTGGTTAAGGTCCTCGCCTTGCACGCCCGGGATCCTATATGGCCGCCGGTTCTAATCCCGGCAGCCCCGCTTCCCT